TAAAACCAGTAATGATTAAAAATTAAGTAAGTACTAATTAAGGGTTTATGACTGAAGGCATTGGCCTTTCATTTGGATGCGTGATTCAGCGTTCCTGCCGTCAGGTTCCGCACGAGGGCATAGCACTAACGGAGCCCAAGCGGAAACCAAGGGGAGGAGGTCAGATATCCCCGAGTGAAAGGCCAATAAAATGCTCGTATTTTCTTAATGGCGAAGTAATGTTAAATCAATATGCTTATGACAATAGCTTACGCCACAGCAACTATTTCATAATATTACCAATTTATTCTTTCTACAGAGCAAGGCAATTCATTCTTCTTTCAGACGTCGTTGATGCAAGATTTCAAGAATAACATTTACAGATAAAGGGTAAGGCAATTCAAAGATATGGCATGGAGTCAAATGTGGTCTTTTCATCTTGGTTTTCCTTTGTATGATTACCATTCTTGTTTTGGTTTTGGTTTGGTTTGGTTTACTTTATTTTCTCATATTTCCAATATTCTCTTCACCTAAATTTCTTGCTTGTTGTGTTGATTTCTCGAACTTTAAATTAAAGTTTGCGCGTTCAGTCCTACGAAAGATGATTTGATATTTGTAAACAGACTCAGTTTTTGAATTTTTGATTGTCGTAGGTGTGTAACTATCATGAATTCAAGGCTTGTCGTTGTGTTTCTTTTGTGCGCCATCCTTGTCGTCTCCGTGACCTCTATGCGTGTGAAATGGGATGATTTCGAGAGAGATGAGGACTACGAGGAAGAGCGTCGTTATTTAAGAAACGCCAAACGAGGTACTCAACTGTCAGTGAACATGCTTATTTTATCGTAAAAGATATATATATTCATATGCTAGTATTTCACAGAAGAAGAAGAAAACAACATCAAGCAATATCGATACTCCTCCTCGAATCGTGCGTATGCATAGGAAGATAGAGGCAAATTAATATCGCCTGTTGTTAACGTTTAGCCTGAGAAGATTGCTGATTGACTCTTTGGAAGCGTTCATGGTTGAAAAATCAGTAAAGTGGGGTCTTTTCCACCTCGTACCTTAACATGATCAACTTACCATCGTTGAAATCCCGTTCAAGTCCCAGAAAAAAAATTCTGAGTCTTTTAATTTGCTGCTGCATAATGTTGCTTGATATACTGCGAAGATCTGTTCAATTTGTTGCTATAGATTTTCTTTGTTGATTTGCAGGATGCTATGATACTTTTTTTGCTGCTTCTTGCCAGAGGGCGAAAAAAACCGATAACTGTTGGAAATCACAATATGCAGAAAACTGTGCTAAAACATGTGGTAAATGCTAACTGAAGAACAATGACCAAATAGGGGACCAAATAGAGAATAATAAAAGCAGATTTAAAAAAAACCCATAATCATTCATCTATTGAGTTTGATACTCTCATTTGTAAAATAAGTCTGGCTAATGTGATGGGTTCACCTTCACTTTGATGGACTTAAATAAACATAGATAAGATAAGAATATAGATGTAGATAAGAATATAGATGTAGATAAGTATAGTTTCCAGTTATGTATATCACAGTGAGCTTAAATTGTCAATTAGAGATCGGTGACAAACGTTGAAATAAACGATATAACAAGCCGTAGTGTCGCCAGGTTTTATTTTTTTGTACTCAGTCCTACTCAATTAAATTTTTCTTGTGGGTAATGACTTGATTTATACCGCGAAATGAGCATATGAATTATGGGAGCGTTTTGATGGGTTTAGCTTTGTTTATGAGCAATTTCGTTTACTGGATGACTGCCTGGCACAACGATCTTCAAAGCTTTCTAGAATGAACGTTTTTGTGGAATATTACTTGATTAATTATAATCATTTTAAATTCACTGGTGATCAGCAATCTGATTGGCTCTCAGCAGTTGAATTAATAATACATCACGAATCGCATTAGTTTCAAACTGAGCGGTGAACCAGTGTCGAACAATGATGCGTGACAAAATGACCGGCCCTAAGCATTATTGGAGCTTGAAAGAACACAGGCAGCCCAAACAAAGTAAGCTAAAATACGAAACCCATATTTTGTTGAATTTTTTTTTCCTTACATTTTTCACTGGCGAAAAGCTTAGAAAATGCGTAGAGGCTTTGGTTATAACTCGAAATATAGGGGTCCTTTCCTATCAATAATTTCCCCAATTAAAATATAATGATGATAAAAGTATAGAGATGAAATAATTGTCTCTAAAAACGAGAAGATGAATATCGTAAGTCTAAGAGGACATGCAATAATATTCTGGGGATGTACTTTTGAATTATTGCCTGTATCCAAGTGAAAAGCAGTGACATTTTCAGTGACACGCCAATCTGTTTGAAGACGGTGCCCGGTCTCTGTATAAATTGGGTAAGCTACCACAGCCACCTAATCCGTTCATGAATGATGCTTAGTGGGCCGTCCTGAATTGACCGATTTCATAGAGTTGCTGACTACGATCGAAAAGGACTCCAAAATTTGTGTGCGGTTATGTGTGTCCTAAAGACCATTAATCTCATTCGACATTATCTGAACTTAACTTCAAGATAATTTTAATAATATTACACAAAGTTAGTCGACAAATAGCAAGGCCTAGGTAAGGCCTCAGTTACAAAACTAATATGGTCATTTTACCTTGAGCTTGCAATTATTACGTCAAGGTACTGTAAGACTCAACAAAACTATTGCGGCGCGGTTTATTGAATTAATAGAATTCAGATGATTTGCGATTGTCGGGATATTAATTGCTCCCGACATGTACAAGTCAATTCAATAAAAAAGGATGAAGGCAATACGCGATTCATATACATATATATATATATATGATTGAGCGAGTTCATGACCATCTTGTTAGCAAAATAAAAAAACACAACGAATACAATTACGAATAATAAATACAAGAGTAAACAAAATCATCAATAGTTATTGAATTTTAACCACTATATTTACCTATCTAGCTCGATAATTTCATACTGTGTACACATGTTTGTGCTTATTTATCCATCAGAAGCAAGGACTAGCGAATATTGAAATTGCCTTATAGTGAAGAATTACTTAGCGCTAAAGTTTTAATTTCGGAAAAACAACTTATTGAAGCTGAGATTATAATAGGTGTGTCTCTGAATACCTAATTAACCTATAAGTATTTAATTTGGGAGTTACGGTGGCAATGATGTACGCATATAATTCCATGGGAAATATAACAAGCTAACTTGGCGTTAGAGATGAAGAGCAATTTTTATTAGAACGAGATTGATAAATAAATAACCTCACTGTTAGAGAAATTATTAACTATTTTTGTTCACATTCCTTGGTTTATCCAAGATTTTAAACAACCATTAAGTTTAATGTTTAATTACTAAGAAAAATAATAATATGCAACAAAGAGTCGTAAGCTTATCTATGATCTATTTAATGTTTTTTTTTTCGTTGTAGGTGAGCTCCCAGGGACGTGATTGCTCATCAGCCTTCCGAGGCAGAAACTTTCAACGTCCAATCAAATTGGAATTTAGAATTTGAACTCTTAGTAAGCTGACTCTATGAATTGCGGCTTATTTTACAATATTTTTGGTTAAGCCTGACCCGATGAATGTCTATCTGCTATTTTTCTGAATAATTTTTGTTCGCCTAGTCATAGGATTTTATTCAGTTCTAAATACTAGGAACTCATTTGACCATCCAGTTGATTCAGCAATACAGCTGTAAAGTTTAATTATTTATACCTTTGAATCAGCTTTACCGCTCGTAACCTGTGCAACTCTGTTATTCTTACAGCATCTGCCCCATTGGAAAATGTTCCTCACGGAAATCCTAAAAGTTTTACTACGGAAAAAGTATACGAAAGGATTTACTGCGGAGTTAGCTAGACTTGCTATGACAGTCCATACATAATCAGAACCATAGTTTTTATCTGGTTTGAACGCCATCCTCACTATGATCGGAGACCAGAAGATAGTGAAGAGCCCAATGACAAGTGCCACAGTTCGAGCAAGTCTTTTTTCAGCTTCATGTGAGACACTAGTTGTATTGCGAAGCTGTTGTCTTGCATAGGATTGCTTGCGCACTGCCCTGAACAAAAACGCGTAGGATACTAATATAATTACAAAAAGAATTGCCATTGAAATCATGCTGAATAATACGTATGTTTTCTTCTTGTCTTCGTCTACGAATGCGTCCAAACACGGCGTGATAAAACAAAACAACCACGAGTTTATCAAAAGGGTCTTAAGCCTTGTAGTTGTTATATATCTCTTGTATGTCATTGGTTTTACTATCGCGAGGCACCTTTCGACACTCATTATTGCAAGTGTCAAAACTGAAATGCTACACGAAAGGTTTCCCACGAGCCGAGCAACGTACTCGACTTTCACAAGACAAATTCCATGCAGCTTCCAGAACAAAATGACGATCAAACAAGGCTCCACGATCATCGTGGCAAGAAGGTCGGCAACCGATAGATTAAAGATGCAGTAACTTGAAAGATTTTGGAGACTAGGAGTTAAAGCTATCGTTAAACAAACCACTATGTTACCTACGCTCCCCAAAATGGTTATTAAAATATTTATGAAATTCATCGCAATGGTTTCTTCTTTTCCAAGAAGACAGCGGTCCATCCCAAGTTTGATATCAGAAAACATCTTTGACCGAGTATCAAAAGTCTGTCGATGTCCCACTTGTACAGTCTCTCAACTCAAATGCGTCGATTAATATGAATTTTAAAATTTGAACAAAAATATATATTACCCGGTAACATATATTTACACACAGTGCCCCCCTATTGGATAAGCTTTGGTGACATTTTTGACGTTAGCATTGGCATTTGGTCAAGCTTATTTAGTTTCTTTGAAAAATAGGGACACCTTTATCCGGCAAAGTCAGACCAATTTCATTTACTTTTGTTTCCTGTTTTATTTAATGAAGTTCACAGAGAAAATTTGAGATATTTTCGAGGACAATATTGTTTACATAAGCGTTAATTTGAGGGAAAGTGGACCAGACAAAGTCTAGCTATATAGAAGAAAAAACACATTGAGGTGTCTATATACTTTAGACAGTGTAAGCGGCTTTAATTGCTTAAAGCTTAATTAAGGTGGCTGCCCACTATAGAAAATTGAAGCTACTGCGCACGCTAGGAGGATGCAGGATGCATAGTGGTTCGTCTAGCTTCGATCGGAACAAATAACACTATATGACGGAAATCTTGAACACGATATATTTGTGTAAGTTAGAATAAACCATTTTGCAACTTTCAGAATAGTTCTATGAAGTACGCAATTTCAGCAGAATAACCTTCAAACGTTTATTGAGGAACCACACCCGTTTTGAACTTCAACAGGGCATTCGGGTTTCCGATGCAATCATTTTTATGAAACATATGTCAATTGACTTACTGAGATGTCTTTTTCCCAATTTTCCCATACAAAAACCTTACACACCGTTATTTTCGTATTCACTTTGCGACCAGCAAATCCCCAGATCTATAAGTTAGTGGGTTTTTAAATTTTATTGATACCCTAGGCTGATTGCCGTTCCGCGCACTACCAATTCGAATTGCAGTTTAGCTTGGAGGTAATGAAGATGTAGGTGAACTGTAGGAGAAATACAATCGAGAGATAGCGTAGAGACCGAACAAACTCTACTCACATGTGATGCCGAATTAATTCAGTCGGCAGGCTGGTACGCCGCATCCTTGAGCCAATGGTGTCTGTCATGGAGCCGTTCTCGCATATCTCCTTGATTCGAATCACTACTGTCGCCAGTTAGGCTCAGACCAAACGTCGAACTTCACAGGTGTTGAACCCAATTGTAAGAACGAGTAACAAGGCGGTCTTTAATGTCATTATGTTCGGCTCTTCGTCGTTTGGTCTTAGTCTGGGCATGCAATCAAAAGGTAAGACTATACTAAACGGTACCAGTTCATTTCTCTACCTCCGCTATTTGCGAAAACAACAAAGAATGAACTTACAACGTTTTAAACTTATGGTGAATTTTAATTAAAAGTCAAATAACAATAATTATAAGTTACACAATACTACAAAAACAAACTTAACGCATTTACAACCTAAGATTGTGCATCAAATGACTATACAGAGTAAAAACAATAATTACTACAATCTTCAAATTCAGAGCAGTCTTCTGCATGTGCTTCGATAATTAATATTCATTAAGATAGAAAGCATTCAATGCATTAATAACTGCTTTTTCGCTAACTCCCTTCTTCAGTTGATTTTTACATCCAGGCATAACCCACTCTATAGTTTGTGGTAGTAACGAATGCATACTTTTAAAATATCTACATCTATCTTGCTGAGGTACCAGTTTACACTTTGAAAACATACCATTTTACCAACTGAGGAAGTTGCGACAGTATCGCATGTGTAAAGCGTGAAAAGAAAATCGAGTCTTCCATAGAGCAAGAGTCGGATCCAGGGGTGGTAAAAGTGGTGACAAGTCACCCCCTTTTCCTCAAATTCGAGGTAAAACCTTTGTATAGTCAACCCCCCTTTTTTTTAAATTCCAGGATCCGCCCACGATAGAGCGTTAAATGGCTAGTTCTAAGCATACATTTGATCATTGCATGCATATATTTCCTATTGCGAAATATAAAAAGGTTGGCTTCTGCTCAGTTATAGCAATACAGCGAACATCCTCAATTGAAATTAAGATGTGTCTTAGAACGCTTTTCATGTCTGTGCGGCAAGTTTTCATTTTCTTTAGTCAATCAAATTTACATGCAACTGGGCAAAGGTCGCAATAACATGAAAATCTTTAATTCAGTGGAAGGTTTTCAAAGTATTCTGACTAGTTGAGTAATATGTATAAAACGTGTCGATAAAGATTGAAATTTAAATATGACCTACGAAAATATATCCACAGATTTAGAAGAAAAGCGTTAGACTTACCTAAATATTACTACTTTAACTTTTTAAGTATTACTAGTGTTATATAAAATATACTTCTATATATTTAATTGGTATGGTCAGAAACCTTATCATTTTCTTTTAATTTTTAGCTTCACTAGCAAATATTACTCAACTAGAATCTTGGTATTGTTATTGGATTATACCAGGTACAATTTTCTCATAAACTTGGCTGAAGTCGACAATACGAGTAACGTTTGCGACCGACGGAATAGTAAGTGTTAAAACTTGTTTTCCTTAGAGTGAAGTCATTAAACCCGTGAAATAGATATTAGACTAACACACATTAGTAGACCCTTAATGCATTGCTTTCTTTTGTGTCTATTTGACTATTACCCGTTGACTACAATAATTTTTATTTCACGGGTTAAATGCCCTAACTCTAAATTTCTGAAATTAATTAGCCACAACAAATGGCACCAACGTTGACTTGGCAACGTTGATAGGCCAGTCGACGTCAAATTACCGAAATCAGATAAGACAGTAAATGTCCTACACCAACAAATGTTATAAAAGAATGTTCTGGAAGAAATTTAGAAGTCTATAGTTATTATTGGTTTTTCGTTGATTATGCTTCTTTGATTTTATTTTACGAAATTCTTTCTTTCTTTCATAATCTTTCTTTTTTTTTGTTGTTTTTTCTTAATAAATTCTCATAAGCGCGAATGTGCTGGTAACTCATACTTATAATCACGTTATGTGGGTGCATGGTTGATCCAAACGGGGTCGGCTCCTAAAAGCCAATTCTTAAAAATACACTAAATCGAAACTATACTTCGATGACTACAATGGATATAATTGTGTTACTAATTGCAATTAAAAATTACATTTAAATTATGGAAAAAGAAAAAGAAAAACTAAACTAAACTAAAGTAGGCTAATATTTTATTGCATAATTAATGCAATCTGAATCCTAATGAATAATGTGACCATCAAATTGTCCTTCCGAAGTCTGAAAGAAAACTTGTGACAGCTACCGGTGCAAAGGATTATGGGGCAGTATAGAACCCAAGTTTAATATATATGTTTAATACTTATAAAGCGCATATGTGCATTTTGCAAGACGCGATGAGAGATTAGGCTCAAATTCAGGTCAACCAACCACTCATTCCTTGCAACACGAGCTCTAGCTTTACAAGCTTCTTACTTTAGATATCGGAAAGACAACTGCAGATAAAGCCGTTGCTAGATCACATTTAATATGGCATAATGTCACCTTATTTAGATAGCCTTTACAAACGGCTATATTTGTTTCTGATTAAACATTAAATCAATTAATCCAGCATGAACGCTTATGTGCTGTCAGTATTTTCACTCCTAGTATAAGCTAGTTAAACTTGTTCATTCATAGAAAATTAACGGTCAACGTGCACCGTTACACGTACAGAAATCGCATCAGAAAAAATGCATGACAGGGCTCAATCTTGATGCAATAACAAACGGTTTTATATTTACTGCTCTTACGAATTCGCACTCACTAAGAAGAGATTATTGGCCATCTTAATCTAACATTAAAGCTATAATTACCAACTAGATCTTTAAATGATTTGTCCTCTTATACTTGGCAATCTTGACAAGTGCGATTACAAATTATATTTTTTACTGCTATTTCGAATATTGAATAACTCACTGAGGTAAGAATGTTGGCCATCTCAATCTAACATCATAGCTGTAAGTACCATCTAGATCCACATTTCATCCTTTACTGATTTGTCCCATTCGACTTGGCTGTCATCCGGTTGGTTTGGCTTGACTTCGGCATAATTGGATGGCGTGTACTGTGGGGGTGGTCCTCCTCCGTTGGGATAACGATCCTGGAAAGTCAGGTCAGCATAAACCACTTCTTTACGATTCTATGAATGAGTGTTATAACATGCGCGAGCAAGGAAAAAAAAGCGAATTTGAACAAAAAGTGATCAAACAAAAAGACATGAAACAAGAGAAAATTATATAAGAGAAGGAATCCCTGTGCCCTATCATAAGCATTCTTTGATGCTATTTTTTTAGAATATCTGATCATATTCTTAGAACATTTAACCGTTTGTTTTTCTGCACGTGTGAAATGTGCGCAGCTTCGCTATTTGCTCACGTTTTCTTGTGATTTACAAAAACGAAAAAAGAAAAAGAAAAAGACTTAAGAAAAAAAAAAAAAAAACCGAGCAAACAGAGAAGTGCGCGTTCAACATGCATGTTCAGAAAAAACAACGGTTGACAAATGGGATTATAAAAAAATTGCATCAAACCATACCTATGGTGGTTATGTTATCACTTCTCTTGATTCATTTTCTATTGCATGAAATGATGGTGTAAATGCGGTAAAAACAACAACAAAACGCGCGTTGGGATTACAAAATAAAGGAACAAATAAAACACATTACCTAACATTACAAAACACTAATTAACAAACTCAACAATGTACGTTTAAAAAAAACACATAGCAGTCTCACTTATGCCACGCATGACCAAGTAGTTGGAGACTGATATATATAAAAAGAGTTTTGCTCGAATATATAAAAAACCTCCCACAGGAGACAAGAGGGGTCGACTTGAGTCAAGTCTGTTCACAAGAATATAAAAGAAAACAACAAATGTTGATAGACATCAGTCGTGACGCACTAGTCATCAGTGACGCACGATGGGCTGATTTGATCATGATCAAAGGAGGAGTATCTTTCATATTTTTCATAATCATTTAAAATATCCATCCACGAGATAATTTCATTTCAGTTAAGCACTTTTGAAAAAATACAAAAATACCTCAAATATTGGCAAGAACCTATAAGCCACGTTCTCTTAAATTTAGTTTAGTTTAGTTTCAAAGTTTACTGATCATGCGTGTCATCATGTGGTGGGTTGAGCTGCAGTTGTCACCACTATTCATGCAAATTGGTATTAAACCACAATATCGAGCTAATACATAGGCAGGTATAAAAATAATGCAATTTTTGAGCAGACAAGACATTGAAAATACATTAGAAATATAGTGCCATGCATAACAGAGAGTGAGAAAGCGAGATAGAGCGAGAAAGGGTGAGAGTTGGAGGAAAGATATGAAAAAGGAATGAGATGAGAAATTTCAAACAGAAACCGTTCAACCCAAGTGGGAAAAAAAAACATTTCTACTACACAAAAGTCCTAACAGATAAACTTCAGTCACACACACACGCACACAAATAGATAAAAAAAATTAAAAAAACCCCCGTAAAATATGAATTTTATAAAAATACAGTAGAGAACAAAAAAATATTTATAGCTGAACCAAAACATCATCAAAATGTATACAATAACCTTACCAACAAGTAGTAATCACTGCAGAATATTTTGTTTTCTGTTGTTGATATAGTTACTATTATTTTAACTAAGTTAAGATTCCGCACTCTTTCCTGTGCTTAACTTATTTTCCAAAAGTAATTTGGGCTTCCTGCACTATTTTTTGGCGCCTTTTCTGATCACGTGGGAGCAATGTGCCGTCACGAGCTCAGCAGTTTGGAGAAGAAAGTAAAAGTCTCCCGTTTTTATCAGCATTAGACGACTTATTGCTTAAAAACTGGCAGAACCAAGCTGTTTCATTCACATATATTTTCCACTTTCGAAAGAATAGGATTACAGCAAGCCAATTATCGGATAAATCAAAATTTTATAAACAGCCGTTAAGTGCTCTGAGACGAAAGGTCACTAGCTTTATTGGATAAAGACGAATTGAAAGGATAAATTTTCAAAGTAAGTACATAAATTAGTAACAAAGGTTTATTATTAGATGTATTAAATAGTTTAGGGGTTTGAAAAGATGTGTGGTATATAAGAGTTTTGCTTTGATTTAAGTCGTTTATGCATAGACGAAGCAAAGTGTCAACAACACGAACCATGTTAGTCATAGATAGATTATCATAGAGAGAGAGAAAGAAAGAAAGAAAGAAAGAAAGAAAGAAAGAAAGAAAGAAAGAAAGAAAGANTATAACTTGTTCAACTTCATTTCTCTATGCCTTTGTCTATTATTCTGTTTGCCCAGATATGTGGAGGTGGACAGCATTATCGATATAAAGTTATATAAAAAAGCAAAAAGAAAGAAAGAAAGAAAGAAAGAAAGAAAGAAAGAAAGAAAGGAAGAAAGAAAGAAAGAAAGAAAAAGAGAGACAGAGTGATGAAGGAAAAAAAATATAGAGCTGATGCAGGTTTTTTTTTCTTCCCCTCTTTCTTCCTACATTTTTTCCATTCATGATTTCTCTTTTATTCTCTCATCTCCTTTCTCATTTTTTCCTATTTTATACACACATCTAAAGCATCAAAGTTCCTAAGCTTACCTCATTAGGGTCATCATACATTGGGTCAAATGGCTGTGACTTCAAAGGAACTGTTGTACTTGACTTATCATAGGTTCGGCCATCCTCTTTATAAGGTTTATTACGGGTATCTTTCAATAGAAAAAAAATCCATCAGTTCAGAACTTCTGTTTCATAAAGGAAGTTGAATGGGTCCCAGTACAGTTTGAAAATAACAAACAAAAAAACAAAAAAAAAACAAAAAAAAAACAAACAAAGTATATACACTTGATTGCAGAAAGGTTGTAGTGTAAATTTATACAAATGTTTAATGAGATGCGAGATATCAAATGAGATGCAGAATTTAAAACATGCGTGAATACGTATGTCTCTGATGCAATAGAAGATAAGGAAAACCAATAAAGTTACTTTTTAAGTTTTGCATCTTATTTGATATCTTGCATCTCATTAGATATATGTATATGTATATTACAACATTTCTGCAATCAAGTGTATATATGTACAAAATATGAATTTATATATAATATACTTATGGTATGATATGGTTTCTCACCACTTGGCTTTTTCTTCTTCAGCATGCAAACAATAAGTACCACAATGATGACAATAAAGATGATTGAGAATACAACAACAAGGGCTATGATTGCTCCCTTGGATAATCCACTTTCATTTGTTCTTGCTCCACTAGCAGGCGGTGTATTAGAAGATGCTGTTGGTGTTGTTGGTGCAGTAGGTGATGGCTTTTCAGTTGGAGCTAGAACAAAAAAAGCAAAACTAAAGTTACAGAACATTTCTGAGGTAAGGATATTACTATAGTTAGAATAATAATAATAATAATAATAATAATAATAATAATAATAATAATAATAATATCCTACTAATGCCATAAATCCTTATGCCTCCTATTTTTCTTACAAAATGCTAATATACTGTACTTACAAAAGGCAAATAGATGAATTGATGCGTTGGAAAGCTGTGTAGCCCAACCAAGACTAGTACAGCTTTATAGTTGTTGTTATATTATTATTATAAATAACATATATGTGTCTTTTGTTTGCCTATTGTTTTGCTTGAAAACAATATCTATAGACATATATAAATGCTGTAAACACTATTATATATCTAGGAGCTTGAACTTTGAAAGGTATTACCAATATAATTTCTTTATATATGTGTATATATATATATATATATTTGTTTGAGAAGAAAAAGTCAAGACAACATTTTTCCCGACAAGCCTGTTTCGTGAATTGCTTCACTCTTCAGGGGATTTAAGGTGACTGCCTACTTTTGAAAATTGATTTAAACTTTTTTTAAAACATCGATTTTCCGAATTGAAATTTAATGCTGATTCCAAATCTGGAAAGAAAAATGGGGTGTCCCGAGCTTGTTTTCGAGATAATCAGCATTTAATGGAAGCCTACGCCCGAGCTTTTGGAGTAAAATCTGCGCCACCGGAAGTGATTAGGAAAAAAATAAGATCCATAAGCTCAAAGTTATTTGTAGACTATATGATAGCACAAATGAAGGCTAGTCAATCATTCTACAATAATACATGGATATTTTCAACAAAAAGACAAAAAGATAAATTGTTTTCTTATATTTTGTAGTTTCGGTGCTCTTAAAAATCTCATAAAGTCGAACAAAAATCTCTACGAAAATCTATTTTTTCATGTGTTGCTGATTTAAACTTTTTCTTAAATGTTGATATAACATAGATTTTTGGGAGTTTTTTCGAATGAGCTATTTAAAAATATAGAGTCCCGTGCAAAATTTGAGGGTTTTGCCCTGTTGAAGCTCAAAACGCGTATGGTCCTTCAATAAAATATTGTAGATTTTTCAGCGGTTTTTGAGCGCGCGCTCATCGTGGGCTCAATTCGAACATTCAAAAGTAGGCAGCCACCTTGATGATAAGAATATTCGTTACTATCATTTATATAGAAAAAGTATACATAATTAATTAGTGGATGTAGTTTGGCTGTTGCGTAATAATGCTTTGTTTCTGTGGCGGCATGAAGATACAAGTTCGTTGCGCTTATTTAATGATGAGAGTTCCGGTCGATAAATTATTAGAAACTTTTCTTTAAGACAAAGGTTACATCTTTTGCTGGAGCTGTCGTAGGCGGAGCTTGAAGATAGGACGCGCCATAAAATGGAGTAGCTGATATTACCGTTCTTGAGAGTCCAGATGTATTTGCTGAGTTC